TGTGTGTGTGTGTGTGTGTGTGTGTGTGTGTGTGTGTGTGTGTGTGTGTGTGTGTGTGTGGCACCTGCCGATAGTTTGCAGGCGATGCGTTTAAGGAACGTTGGGAAGCTACGCAATTACCAGTAGCTTAAAGGGATAGTTCACCCCAAAATGAAAATTCACTAATTACCTACTCACCACTATGCAGGAGTGGTGGGGGGCTGGGTGTTTGGGTGAAGTGTTTGTGTCCTCAAAACACTTTTGGAGTATCAGGCGTAAACAGCGCTGCAGCCAAATCCAATACAATTGAAGAAACTGGCGACCACTTCTTCAAACGTAATAAAGTCAAAAAACATAAAATGCCTAATTTACACCCAAAATGTCGAACATCCGCTCTCATCCTCCTAGTTACTACTGCAGTTCTCCCTAGATCAGCTGATACTCTCGAGCTCTCACGAGTGGTGAATGGATAATGAGTGAAGTTTGTTTTAACTGTAAAAAAAGATTGCAGCCCCAGATGCCACACCCTAGCTCCGCCCCTGTTGAGCAGCAGTACTATATCAGCAATTTAAATAGCCAGTTCAAACTCAATAAGCTGATCCATACTGCAGGGTTGAGGTGGGAGAAGATGAGCAAAAATGGGACACAAATTCTAATGTGGATGCCCAGTCCCATCAAAATGTATAATGCTATCTGAAAGTGGGTTGGTTGAGTTGGTAGAGCAGATTTTTTTTTACACTCCACATGTCTGTAATCGTAGAAAACAAACAATAACCATGTCTGTCAGAGTAACACACACTCAGTGCTGCGTATATCAACTGCATCGGGTCGGACACAAAAACCTGATTGCCTGCCGGGTCGGGGTTAGGGCTCCGTCAGATTGAAACCCAAGCTGCTCTCTACTACATATGGCTCAGACCGAATAAAAGAAGTGAAGTATTGGAAAGTACCACAAAGTATTGTGAGAGAACACAAAACATATCGTGGACTAAGGCTAAGGTAATCCTCCAAACTCGGTTTATTCTTAGATTTAAAAAGGTGTCCATAAGTAAAACTAAACTAAACATTATTTATTTAAAAAACTTCTTCTCTGCAGATGTCATTTTATCAACCTGGTGAGTGAACCACTGGCCAATGCCACATCTTAGCTAATGAGCAAATGCTTGTCAAACAAAATGAATCTTAATAGGTATCAATTTCGTTTTATTGGATATTTGGTGTGGCAGCGTTTAAGCCAAGCTACAGTTCACATTTATCACGGAAATATGATTATATCAAGTGCTGTTATCCCCAAATTCTACATGTGCAGCGCGTCCTGCAAATGCCTAATTCTTGTATTTGGTCTTGTGTGGCAGGAACAGAGCACCATCAGCAGATAGAGACGACTGAGTCTGACAGAGCGGAGGATGGAGAGAGCAGCGTCACAGCTCCCACACCAGCACAGCAGAGTCCTCCATCTGCACAGCCTGCTGAGACAGCCAGCGACCAGAGCGCTCCAAACAGCCTGTAGGCTTCTCCTCCTCATCTCACACCATCTGAAATATTCATGCAGAAAACTAATGTTGATTTTTAGTAAATACACTGTGTAATCCCACCTGCTTTCTCTCCCCCCCCCTCTCTCCACACTGATCCATCCTTTGTCTGTCAGCGCCGTCCCTGAGGCCGTGGTGCTTACGAGTGTGTTCCAGGGGACTGCAGACACTAATCGTCCTCCCCTGAACCTGGACTTCCCACTCTGGAACAAAGCCCAGCCTCCACATGCCACTCTAGAGGACATGAAGCTCACCTGCCAGAGACCAACCACCGTCAGTACACTCACTCCACGTGATGGTTTCCCAGCTGTTGGAATGTTAGCAAGCTTTTTTTAAAAAAACATTCTTCCTCTACAGGTGGTGCTATCAGACGACGCCATGGACGTGGCGGCGATCGGTGAGTGGGGAGAGCAGCTGGTCAACTCCTTCCTGTGCCACTGGAGGGACAGCGGCGCCCCCAGGTGCCCCACGCACATCCTGTGGTGCAATCAGAGCGGAGAGAGCGGCCAGCCTTACGACTTCAAGCTGAGCTTCGGACCCGCAGGAGAGGCGGGGGTGGTGTACGTGGAGGTGAAGTCAACTATAAAGAAAGAAAAGTCGTTCATCCACCTCTCCGCCAACGAGCTGGACTTTGCACTGAAAGAGAAAGAGCGCTACCACATATATCGGGTGTACAGCGCAGGAGATGCCAAGAACGTTCAACTGTGTCGCATTCGGAACCTCGCGCAGCATCTTCACACAAAAGACCTGGCACTTTATTTGTTTGTATAAGTTTCAGTTTCTGCACTATATCGTACTCCATATAGGATTTTAGGGATAAGGTCAATATGCCTTTCTTAACTTTATCGTAACTGCACTGACTTTAGTTTTTTAAGTGTGGCCATGATGCAAACAAATGTTTTCTTTGTTGAGCCAAAGTTTGCACATTCCTTTTTCATCTCTAGCCATAATCATGTAATTGCCAACAAACCACACACAGGTTTGTGTTTTCTAGTCAGTGTTCAGTAGAAGTTCTGAATGTTTTTATCTGTCTTTTATTACATCACTTTTACTCTAGCATTCCTTTGAAATAAATGTTTTCTTGTTAACTCAGTGAATGTATTTGACTGTTAACACTGGATGGGAACAGACACCTTACAGACGCATCTTTAGCCAAGGAGCAACTCTGTCACCTGAACCTCTCTGACAGATGAAGTTAAATCAAATAGTTAAATCAAATAGTTAAATCAAATAGAAGCAGAGCAGACTGGAAAGGTCCCTTCCAGGCTGCCATCATTCCTGGTAATTGCACTGTCACAGTGAACAGGCTGCACTTTGATTGTCGACTCTTGATACAAGTATTCCTCTACAAAGAAAAGCAAGTCAGGCTGGTCAGTGAAGCACAGAACTGCAAAAACAACACATCTACTCCACATTTGTTATGCCTCCATGCAGACAGCCAGTGGCTGTTCATTTTGTGAACATGGTATCTCAAGAACTTCTTGAAGGAATTAATTAAAATTTGGTAAAAAATATTCAGTTTGACTCAAGGATGAACTGAAAAGAATCTGGTGGTCATGTGTCACTGTGACCTCATGTTTTAGTAAATTTCATTACATCTGGCACAAAAATTCACTTGTAATCAAGGACGATCTGATTAGATTTTAGAGTTCAAAGGTCAAGGTCACTGTGACCTTACAAAACCCTTTTTTGCCTTGTGTATGCAATAAATTAAGAATCTGGCTCTTGTCTGCATTCACTCCCAGGTCAAATGACCCTGCAGTGGACGTGGGTTTTAATGAACGTGACACCTGGGTGAGTGCACTAATTTGGCAAGACAGCGAGGTGAGAGAGCGCCTCAGTTGTGCACATTTGTGACGTCGAACATGTCGCGACGTGGGAAAAAACAGAAAAGCAAACTCCTCTTCTGTTCATAGGAAAGGAGTCGATCTCCTTTTTTAATCTGGTCTTCGAGCGTTTCAAAAACCTGCTGATTCTGGTGTATAGAGGTATAAAAACACCTCCTTTCAAATGTTGCCCAAATCTTCTGAGACTCACAGATTAACAGGTTAGATTTGGTGGTCAAAGGTCCAGGTCAGAAAATGTGTCTTGAATATAATCTCAAATTATAGGTCCCTGGACCTCACTGTGCCAGTTCAGTGTAGCCGTTTTAAATGGTAATCTTTGCAAATCAGGCCGTATTACAGCCATGTGATGGGTGCTGATGGAGATATTAGAAGCAACCTCTGGGGAAAGCACCTCCCTATTTCCATCCTGTGATGCAACGTCTTTGTAACCACAGGGCTGTTTTCTGGATCAGTCATGAGGGGAGACGCAGTATACACTGAATGATCAAATAGCAGCTTGTTTCTAACAGCAGGGGCTCTTTAGTGGAAACCTGCAACAAAATGCAGTGCGGTATTTGTTTCGTAGAACTAGAAAACTATAGTGTCCTCACAGAGAAGATAAATAAACATCATCATGTACGATCAGGTCACTGCCGCGTTGTGGACAAGATGTTTGGTAGAGATACAGATATCGAGCCGCAGTCATGTGGCAGAGCAAAGATTAGCACCAGGTGATGTTTGTTTTTCCTTCTTTTTATTATAGGTGGGACATAGATGCTCCCTCTGTTGGATTCATGAGGCATTCACACTGCCTTGTAAATCTCAACTTCAAGTCACGGATCAGGTGTTTTAAGTGATTTTGGATGATAAATACAGTGTCAATACAACACACAGCAGGAATGTCCTGTATGTCCTGTTATCTGAAATCATTGTGAGAATAATGGACATGATGGTGTTCTTGTAAGTATAAAATAAATGGAGAGAAAAGGCCACACAACTCTGGAGCACAATATGCATGAATGATTTTAACTGGTTATAAATCTGTGTTACTATGTGGAGACATTGTACTGATGTAGTCATACACAACAACTCGTCGTAGTCAGGGCTTCATAAAAATGTGGCAGCGACCAGCTTGCTCTTAACGCACAGGACCTCAAAATAAAGCTTCACTTCTCTCCTCACAAGGTTTCCGACATTCGGTCAGATAACTGAATATTTAAATGGCCAACGACTTCCATTGTGTTTCACTGAGCTGGAACAATATCCACGATAACTGCAGGCGTCTTGCTATTCAGCATTCAGTAGTTTGAGTGGAGCTGAGTGATCTGAGATACCAAAAGATTCAAAGTAAACCGTGGATCAATAATATATTTTGATTTATGCTTATAAAAAAACATTTCACCTGCATGACAATGACTGACCGCCTGCATTATTAAAATAAATTAACAGAATGAATGAAAGAGGGCCCAGCACTGACTCTGGAGGCCATTTAAAGCTAGGGTTGATAATCTATA